TCTTTGTTGTATTTCTTTTGGTTTTGGAAAGTCCTTGGGAGTTCATTTCCTAGATTGGTATCTGGCTGGTACGATCCTATGTCCAAGATTCAGCCTGTGAGCTGAAGTTGTTCTCAGATTGAAGAACTCCCTTTAATAATTCTTATAAGTTTGGTTTGGTTTTTCCATATTCCCTTAATTTATGTTTATCTGGAAGTGTCCTAATTTCACTATCATATTTGAACAAGAGTTTTGCAGGATATAGTATTCTTGGCTGGCAATTTTTCTCTTTCAAGGTTTTATATATGTCATCCCATTGCCTTCTTGCCTGCATGGTTTCTGCTGAATAATCTGAGCTGGGTCTTATCGTTTCTTCTTTGTATGTGACTTCTTGTTTTTCACAAGCTGCTCTCAGCATTTTTTGTCTTTGGCTTTGGTGAGTGTGATTATGATATGCCTCGGTGGTTTTCTTTTGGGTTCTTTCCTATATGGGGTTCGTTGAGCTTCTTGGATGGCCAGCTTTTCATCTTTCATGATATTGGGGAAGTTTTCTGTCAGCAGTTCTTCAATTATCCTCTCTGTCTTTTCAGTTTTCTGCCCCTGTTCTGGAACTGTGATCACTTGAAAATTTTTGCCTTTGATTGTAACCCAGAGAATTCTCAGTGTCTCTTCATTTTTCTTTGTTCTTTTGTCTGAGTTTTCCTCCAATAGAGTTATATCCAAGTGTTTGTCTTCAATTCTGCTAATCCTGTCTTCCACTGTTTCAAATCTGCTCCTCAGCCCTTCTACGACACTGTCCATTTCTGAAATCTTGTTGTTTATCTTTCAGATTTCTAATTGTTGTTTTTGCATGATTTCTAGTTGTGAATTTATTTTGGCATTTTGCTCCTGCATTAGTTTCCTGAATTCTTCCATTTTTTTTTGTGTAGTTTCCATGAATTTTTCTGTCTTTTCCACGAATTTGTCTATTTTTTCCTCATTTTTGTCTGCTTTTTGCTTCAACTTTTGGATAAGTCTGAGTATTAGAGATTTGAATTCCTTATCAGGTAGTTCTAGTGCCTTTTCTTCCACTGGAAAGTTATCTGGTGTTTTGTTTTGGATGCCTCCTGGAACCATCCTGTCCTCGTTTTGTAAATTTTTTGATATTGTCTGCTGTCTTCGGGACATTCAGCAGTTATTTTTCTCATCTATTGATTTTAGATTTGTTTATTTTGTTCTTTTTTTAATTTGGCTATGTCTGAGCATGTGGGCTGTGTGTTGTTTGTTGTTTTCTCATCTCTGGGCATGATAGTTTTCACCTTCTTCTCCAATTGTCAAGGTCAGTCACTCAGATGTGGTAAAGCAGGGAAGGTCTAGCTAAAGAGGAGTAGCTGGGATCGGCTGTTTGTGGCACTTACTGCAGCCACCAGGGCAGGTAAGTAATCAATGCAGGGTATGTTCTATTAGGTCATTCCTGTGTTGCTTGGTGGTGTGATGTTAAGTGCACAGTGCAGGTAGATAGGATGGAGGGGGGAGATTGTGTTGTGTGGAGCTAAGTTGGTCATGGGAGAGAGGAGAGAGGAACAGGAGCCCAAAAGATATAAACAAAAAAGAGTGCTAGGGGAGCTTGCTGTTGGAGTGGAGAGATGAGAGACTATGAAATGGAGAAAAACAAAAAGGGGAAGAAAAAGAAAAAAGAAAAGAAAAGAATGAATAAATAGAAAAAAGAATGCAAAGCTCCCTGGGATCCCACTGGAGTGGCTACGAGGTCTGGGGAAGTTGTTCAAAGGTTCTGACATACAGCCTGTCTAGGAGGCATAGAGGTATTCAGCACCAGGTATTCAGGAGACAGGAAGAGAAGGAATGTATAGAGAGATGAGAAACTGAGTAAAGAAGGAAGACAAAAAGGTAAAAAGAGGGAAAAAAATTAAAGAAAAGAGGAACCCCCCCCCCAAAAAAAAACAGGAAAAAAAATAACCACAAAGAAAGAAATGTCCTCAGGGTTCCCTCTGTGCATCTGCGAAAGCTGAGGGAGTAGGTCCTAAGCCGCGCAGCACTGCCTGGCCAGAACGGGCTCCCAACTCGAGAAAAGAAAAACAATTCAAAACAAACAAACATAAAAAAGCCTTGGGATCCCACCAGTGTGGTAGCACAAATGGGGAAGCAGTTCCACAGTCGAACGGATCTCCACAACCCCTCAGGAAGAAGAAAACATGGTGCACGGAGCCAGGTATTTGAGAGAAAGGAGGGGGAGGTGGTGAGAGGTAAGGAAGAAATCACAAGAAGCAGAAAAAAGCAACACCAGCAGCCAACAAATGGCACTCAGGGAGTCGGCCAGTGTCAGCGGGTCGAATCCAAGCAGCCGGTGCTTCCTGGCCAAGAAACTGTGGCCACAAGAAGCAGAGGAGGCCGAGTGAGGGTGAAGAGGGGTGGGGTGTGGGAAAGTGTATCTCGTCAGTTACTGGTTGTTCTGTCTGCTGCTGGAAGCTCTGTGAGACTGCTTTCTCGTACCCCCTATTTGCTGGTATCTGATAGGAGTCCAAGAAGGCAGATCCGTAATGCATTAGCTGATAGGGGACCTCTCCATGTATGTCTCCTTGCTCCCTGTTCTCAGTCAGTTTCTTATTCCATTTGGTGCTTGGCTGAGTTCTTTATCTCTGCATTTTATGTTTAGGGTTTCAGGATTGCTGTTTTCTCTGTTTGGTTGAGTTTTTTGGATCTTTGCTGTAGAGGGACAGCATGGTGCTTCTGCCTAGAGTGCCACATTGCCAGAAATCCCTTTGGAAATCTTAAGAAGACCTGAACACAGAACATTTTAAAGGTTTTCATATTCCTTAGGGAAAACGAAACATTCTATTAGAATACAAGGTATGGAGAAGTTATCAAATAAAACCATGCATCTTATATTATTATTTGCTAATAATTAAAACAAAAAAACCCTGTTGCTGTTGAGTGAGTTCCAACTCACAGTGATCCTATAGGCTATGGTAGAGTTTACAAGACTGTAAATGTTTATGGAAGCAGACTGCCACATCTTTCTCCCACTGAGTAGCTTTTGCTTTCAAACCCCTGACATTTTGATTGGCAGCCCAGTGCTTAACCACTGTGCCAGTAATTATTCTCTACTTACTGCTTTTACTCATCTACATTTTAAGTAGTAAACCGAAGATCAGAGAATAAAGTACACAAGTTACAGAGGCGTTCTTAGTGAAAACTGAATTTTACTCCTACTTCCCTTCCCATTCCACGGCCAATTTATTCTATCAACAGAAAAACAGAAAATCGTACCAAACTCCACAGCCTTCTCGTAAGAATCCATGGATCACGGTTATGGGTGTATGGCTGTCTTCTTCTTTAGTAAAATGGACAAAGATGTTGTTACCAGCACTTTGTAAAGGTTTGAGTGTGTGCATTTATTGAGTGCTGACACCCACTGTATTAAACTTTCTATGTGGTTAAACCCAGGCCATAGTGCACTCATGGCCCAGGGTTCACAGATGGGAGGAGGCAGACCTGGGCCTGGAGCTGTTACCTTCTCCTGACACCTGGGTCTATTATGTCCCTAAACTCAATGGCTGAGTTCTTCCAACCTAAATACCCTAAAATCACCTAATTCAGTTAACAATTAATGCACATGTCTTAGTGGCCTAATGCTGCTGTATTGCAAATACCACAAGTGAGTGTCTTTAAAGAACAGAACTGTAGTTTCTCACATTTCTAGATGCTAAAATCCAAATCAGGGTCTCAGCTTCATCAATTCCTTTCTTGTAGGTAGCCCTGGTCATTCCTTGGTTCCTTATAGATGATCCTACATGTCATTTGTCTTCCCCTATTTGTGTGTGCCTCTGTGTCAAATCTACTCTTTTTATAACTCAGAAGTTATGTGGTTTAGGGCACATCTTAGACTGATATAACCTCATTAACATAACCAAGAAAACCCTATTTCCAAAAGGATTACATCCACAGGTATAAGGGTTAGAATTCCCACATATATTTGGCGGACACAGTTCAGTCCATGACAGAGTGATTCCCATCCAATGAGGCCTATTTACTTCTCCAATAACTATTCAGTTGTCCACATACAGCCAACTTCCCTCTTTCGCACATGAAAATTTCTTCAGTGCCTGGACCAGGGGACCTCTTGGCCTATAGCAATGGGGGGTCACTAGTTGGCACATTCAGAGGTACAGGATTTAGGGGTCCCCTTACAGGACCCCCATCAACCCAGGTTCCACATACATCATGTGAAAGGGAGATAATGTAAGCGCAGCTCACTCCACTTTTGTCCATCAAGAACTGGAAATCCAGAATCTATTGTAAAGTCTAGTCAGGGGGGCTGAGTGGAAGAGGGAGGTCAGACAGAAAGGCTGGGTTTTGAGGGCAGGTCCTGGAAATCTAGGGATGATGTTTTGGTCAGACCTGAGGGAAGAGGAGAGAGGGGTGGTTCAGTGCCCTGGCAGGGAGGATGCTGCTCTGTCTCTGCCCTGGGCTTCCTGCTCTGCTGCCTCCCAGGGGAGTCTCCATCAGTGAAGCCGAGTTTCTAGGTCTGTCCTGTAAACAGGTGAGTCTGGGGGAGGAAGCCTTGTGGGGAAATTAGATTGAGGGACTTCATGATCCGGACAAGGCCCAGTTTGATCCTGTGGAGGAGGGAAAAGTGGACAGTGAAGACAGAACATTTGTGGTGTGTCTAGGCCTCAGGCAGCAGGGGCACTGTGACCTGTCCCAGAGGGATCTGTGCTGGGAGCTAAGCTGGGAATCCTCCACTTAGCCCTGGTCTGGTACCTTCTTTCCAGTGCTCACTGGAACATACAGCTGTAACTTCATGGAGCCCTGGAAACCAAAGACCACCTCTCCCAGCATTAGATTTACAAACAGGAGATGAAGCTCAGGGCCCAGGGTGGGGGGTGGATAATAACAAGGAGAAGCCTTTTTTGCAGGAAGGGTCCTCCCTCACTTTGGCTGCTGGAGGGGATAATAGGGACTTGGGGAACCCAGGCCCAGCTGAGGGTCTCAGGATGCAAAACTTGTTGGGGGTTTCCACCATGACCTGGGCTCGTCTCTTTCTTACACTCCTCATTCATTGCACAGGCAAGCAGGGTGTCAGGGCTGGGGATGAAAGGACCAGGGATCCCTGGTTGTGTGTCACTGTTCACTGAACCCACCTCTCTCACACAGTGTCTCTCCTATCTTTCAGGGTTCTGGGCCCAGTCTCTGCTAACTCAGCAAATTCTGAGTCTGGACGGCAGGCAGTCAACGTCTCCTGCTCTGAGAGCAGCAACACATTAGGCCTTGGTATCCATCCAGGTACCAGCAGCTCCCCAATAGTGTCCCCAAACTCCTCATCTACAACACCAGTAATAGGCCTTCAGGGGTCCAGGCCTGATTCTTAGGCTACAGGTCCAGGAACACAGCATCCCTGAGCATCTCTGGTCACCAGCCTGAGGAGAAGGTTGATTATTACTGTGGGTCACCAGACAGCAGTCTCAGTGCTTCCACAATGTTCCAGGCCAGTAGGGGAAGTGGGGCATAAACGTGCTGCACCCAGTTGTAGGACTTCCCTTTGTAGCACCATCCTTCCACCAAGACAGCTGATTTCCCTCCCAGATTTCAGATTCAGATCTTCACTAACTCCATTTTGGAGTGTGGGGGTGTCTTTCGCTACTGCCTGAGGGATGGGAATGGATCTGCTTTCCAAAGCTGAGAGGGTGAGGTTACCACTCCCAAGGGGAAGAAGAACAGGGCTCACTGGAGACAAGGGGGTGAGGTCATTACTCAGATGGACTAGGAGAATGAGGCTGCCCAATACCGAGGCAGCAGAGTTGTCCTTCCATTGGGCCTGTGATGTAGAACTGAAGGCCAGGGCCAAGGATCTTCCACTCAGAATCCAGAGAGTGTAGCCAATACCTAGAATCTGGAGGGCAGGACCATTGTGTAAATGGTCTCAGAGAACAGAGGATTATTTTCAAGCCTGGAGGGCTAATGTAATGTGTTCTGTTGACTTCCTTGGTGCTTGTTATCCATGACATTCCACCCTTTGGCCTCCCAAAATTTACATCCTTGCCACATGTAAAACACATTCACCCCATCATAGCCAAAGTCTTAAATCAGCTCCAAGTCCAAAATCCAAAAAAATTCCTCTTCATCTGTGAAATCTAGAATACAAGTTATTTGCTTCCAAGTACAATAGTGGAACAGGCACAAGGTTAGACATTTCCATTACAAATAGGAGAAATGGGAAGGAAAGAAGGGATAACAGGTATCCTCTGGACTCAGGGTCCCTGCGCTGAGAAGCTCCTCTACCAGGGGAAGATTGATGACAAGGAACTTCCTCCAGAGCTGACAGACAGAGAAAGTCTTCCCCTGGAGCAGACACCCTGAATTTGGACTTGTAGCCTACTAGAGTGTGAAAGAATAAACTTCTCTTTGTTAAAGCCGTTCACTTGTGGTATTTCTGTTATAGCAACACTAGATAACCAAGACAGAATTTGGCACTGTGAGTAGGGTGCTGCTCTAACAAATACCTAAAATGTGGAAGCACTTTTGAAACTGTGAATGGATAGAGGTTGGAAGAATTTTAGAGTGTCTAATGATGAAAACCTAGATAGCCTTGAAGAGACTTTTGGTGGAATTATGGATGTCAGACAATTCTGGTGAGGACTCAGAAGGAAACGAGGAACGCTGTTACACTGGTGCACATTGCAAGAAGCTGCATTAGAGAACGCGAAACAGCAGAGAACCAGCAGTAGCAGAACCAGGAGACCAGTGCAAGATGGTTACATTCCAGAAGGGGGAACAGTTTAACCCTGTTGGTTACCGAAGGGGTTAAACTATTCCCCCCTCCTCCTCCTATCCCAGCTAACCTCTCTGAGTTCCTGATAAGACAGTTCTGTATTGTCTGAGTAACAATACAAGGTCGTCTTACTGCTTCTCTGCTCAAGGCTGCCCCCTGCAATCAAACACCCTCCCCATGCAGACATGAGCCACAAAGCTAGCCTTAGATAAACTTCGTGTGTCATACCCCCAAGCAGTCATAATGCACTACAACTTCACCCCATACATGTTAATTAGTTCCTGAAATTGTCCGCCTAGTCCCAGAAACTTCATGAATTATGCATAAGTTCCCTATCCTGAACCCTATCACTGCCCTAAAATCTCCAACTTTGGGGAGATTGATTTGAGACTTAGTCTCTGAGCTCATGCTTGACCGGCTTGCAATAAAGTCCACTTTCTCTTTCTCAAAGGCCTGGTGTCTCTCAATTGACTCTAGGGGTCACACTAGGCAGGACCTATTCCCATATGGTTACCATACCACCAAGAAACAAGAGCCAGGAGGATAGTGTGTCCTTTGGACCCAGAGTCCCTGTGCTGAGAAGCTCTTTGACCAGGGGAAGATTGATAACAAGGACTTTCCTCCAGAGCTGACAGACAGAGAAAGTGTTTCCCTGGACCTGTCACCCTGAATTTGGACTTGAAGCCACCTAGATTGTGAGAGAATAAATTTCTCTTTGTTAAAGCCATCCACTTGTGGTATTTCTGTTATAGCAGCACTAGATAAGTAAGACATTGCTCTCCTCACATTTGCACTAACCACCCTCCCATCCACTCTGACCACCTATTGAGCCAGTCAGGGTTTCTGCAGCTCCTGGCTGCCATGGAGACACTTTCTCCCACTAGTTCTGAAAGCCTGGCATTGACTGTCTTCATGGACAGCTGGCAGCTCCTCACACCGTTGTCACCCATTCCTCCACCTTCAGCAACGTCCACAGAAACCACCAGGCACCAGGGCACCTGCTTTGTGGAGGAGAACCTGGAGGTTGACTGGCCCCTAAGGGCTCCACGCTCCCTGTTGCAGAGAAGGCTCAGCCTCAACCAAAGGTTGCTCTTCCTTTCAGGCAAGCTGAGCCCTAGGCCTAGTCACACTTTCCTGTTCACTCACTTTTTAAGCAAGCTTCCCTCAGGGGCACTTGATTCCTTTCAAGCAATGGGTCTCGCTTGGGGCTCCTCCCACTTCTCTGTGCTACTAACTCTGACCTTCAGAAGGAGAGCTTCCAGGTTCTCTTCCCCATCTCCCTTGGTTCCTGTGAAAATCTGAGAAAAGTGTGCCTGGGGCAGGGACACTCCCTCACTTCACATACACTCTGCAACTAAGGCTTATTCTCACCCTTAGTCCAGAAAAATCCTGCTATAAACCTAAAAACTTACACTTTTTATTTCTATATTTTATTATGGAAAATGTCAAACATACACAGAAGTAATGAGTATTGTGTAATGAGCCCCCTTTACAATCTCTCAGCTTCAACAGCTACTATTTTTGCCAATATTGTTGTGTCTATTCCCTCATGTTGTTTTGTGTTTGTGTTTATTTTCCTGGAATTGTTTTGAGGAGATCCCAAACTTCTGTACGTATCTCTAACACAAAAGGACTTTTTGCTTTACAAGTGCCACAACATTATTATCACACCTATTAAAGTTACTATTAATTCATTAATATATAATTCTGGCCCATATTCAATTTTCTTTTATTGTCTCAAAAATGTCTTTTAACCTTTGTGTTAAACAAACTACATCAATGTTTGGTTGATGCATCTCTGTGTCTCCTTTAATCTTTCACAGAGTTTCCTCCCAAACCCCTGAGTGTAGGCCATTTATTTGTTCAAAAGCAGGGTCATATCGAATGTTCCAGTTCTAGATTTGACTCGTTGCTTCCTTGTGGTGATGCTTGACAGGCTTCTCTCTCCCCTGTGTGTTCTTTGGACTGGAGGAGGATTGATTAGACTCAGGGTCAACAACTCATGCTAGATGAAGCTGTGCACTTTCAATGAACGGTCGGAACATCTGCTCAGTCCTTTTAATGATTTCAGGGTTGACCAACAGGTTCAAGTGTCACCAGCCTGATGTATTGGTCTTTTATATAATGGATTTTAACAGTCATTGATAATTGTCTGGGTTTTACATTTCCTAAGTGGTTACAAAATGATGATGTTAAGAATTATCTCTTTATTTCTGCATTTAGTAGCTGAAATTCTATTAAAAAAAAAAAAAACTTTTCGTCTTCCTGTACTTGATTTCACTGAAATACCATTTTGATAGGAAAGGCGGGAAAACACTTGACTGGCTGCCCCCTTGTCAGTTTTCAGAATAATGAGTTGGTGCCTTAGTGACTGGTAACCACCAATGAAGGGCGGGGGTGGGGGGGAGGGGAATCTTTGTTGTTTGTTTTTTGAGCTTCATAATGAATTCATAGGTTTCTTTCAATCAATTGTAGTCATGCCTTTTGATGCCCAGCTGGTCTTATTGGTGGCTAGAGGGTGGCCGTCAGGTGTTTCCTATAGTCTTTGAATACAACCATATGGTCTTTGATGCCTCCCTTGCTGTGGCAATCCATGGTGTCTCAGACTCCTCCTGTGCATTCTCTGCCTTAGATCTGAACTCAGCCATCTCTCCAAGGTGCCCTCCTTACTTATCACGGTAATAATGCTAGAGACTACAATCTGAACACAGTGCTGCTTTTTGCTCTTGGGTTTTCTTTACTTTTAGGCCTTTTTAAAGACACTTCAGAGCAGTGACTTCCAAGTCTCCCAGGACCTGACCTGACACTCTGACCCTTCCCAGTTGCCCTGGTATATGGATCAGGGAAAATTTCTCTATTCCTGGAACAAGGAGATCCATCATGAAGCTACAGAGATAGGGTTGGCTCTGGAAGGTGTTGCTTTTATCTCCATCCTCTCTCCAGTTTCAGCCCACCTCCTCTCTCTCCACCTGTCATGGATTGAATTGTGTCCCCCCAAAATATGTGTCAGCTTGGCTAGGCCATGATTTCTGGTATTGTGTAATTGTCTTCCATTTTGTGATCTGAGGTAATTTTGTTATGTGCAGTAAATCGTAATTTCTGTGATTAATGAGGCGAGATTAGGTTATGTTAAAGAGGATTAGAGGGGGTGAACGCCCTTATTCAGGTCACAGTCTTGATCCGATGTAAGGGGAGTTTCCCTGAGGTGTGGCCTAAATCACATTTTATCTTACAAGAGATAAAAGGAGAGAAGTAAGCACAAAGAGAGGGACCTCATATCACTAAGAAAGAAAGAAAG